ATACCACTCGCGACAACTACAGCACTGCCCGAAAAATGACGCTTGATCGACAATGGTCGATTTCCTGGACAAGACCCCTTCGTGGTTCACACCTCCATCGCCTTCGCTCCCAAGTCTTCTTCATTATCATGGTTAAATGACCCTGGTAGAGACCAATGAAGTGTGTCCGTGATGCTCCGCTTCAACAAGAATCGCTAAGCATCAAATCATCATGACAAGTGTACTTCACGAAGAACAGTAGGATCGGGCGCCAAAGAACGCATGAGCTTAAGGCACAGCCTAGAATTTTTCTAAAATGTTGAACGGCGTTAATCGTTTTGTTCTTATTCCACGATCATGGACATAAAATGCGATTACACCACTTGGAAAACATGCAGAAAATGGTACGTGCGTTCTTTCAAAAATCTGCAAATCTAGCCTGAATTTACCCATTTTCCAGCCTAAGTCATGTAAGTCTGATGGTTCTGTGATATTCAGTTAAAAAAAGTGTTCTTTGCCGAAGTGACTTCTACGCCTGATCTTACTGTACATGCACATGTACATGTACGTGTATGTGGCAGCCCTGAGCATGCCGCTATGTCATGAATGCTGTGCCAAGGTTTAGCAATATGGACAATGACTCATTCCAAGTCTGTTCATTTCCCTATAACTCACGCAGTTGTACTGTGCCACAGTGTTGTCTATTTCCGCTCCATTTTTGGTTATTATTGGTGTCATCATGCACCAGAACTCGCTCATTTGGGGTTGCGATATTAGCAACTTTTGAGCTGTAATGGATGCAATTTCAGCAAACTTGCATGCCCACCACAAGCACCAACACCCTAGCAACACGTCGAAACTTGGCGCTGGAACTGGAACCCTGATCGCGTCGTCGCACTGAAAGAAGCCCAGGGCTCAATGCAGCTTTTGCCACCAGCTGAGGAATTTCCGCAGCTATCAATGTGAGACGTCCGGTCGCACTGGCGTTATCAACACAGCACACTTGTACTTTACTTACTTCGCACCACGACGTACACACCAGTCTCGCCCAGATCAGCGACCATGGATAGGCACAGGCGGATTATGTTGGCATAATTATTGGCATAATTTGGTGGTTGAAAATTTGAAGCACAATTTACCATCCTTTCGGAGGTAGGAGCATGACAACATGATTGTAGTTATAACTTATAAACTACTAAATCTCCAGACACCTAGCTTTTTCCACCATCTTGTAATTATAACTACAAATGGAACATGCATACATGATGTACTGGAATGTGCAAGGCATAGTACCACTAACTTCCTGTCTCGTGCTTTATCAGTCTAGCCAAGAATGACTTCAAAAGAAGCGTCTCTAGCTGCTTTCTAACGATTTTGCCGACGAATACGTCATTATCGAGTATTGTTTTCTGTGCTGAGTTTGCACGTGTGTACTTCAAGTACTCCAACACAAATTACCATTTGAATAAGAGGAAGACACCATCTCATTATTTTGAAAACAGATACGATAATTACGAGTGTTGAAAACTCAGCGCATAAGACAAGACTTTCTTCAGCAGTTGTAGAATCTGTAAGGCCAGCATTAGTATTGACACATTTCTGCGGGATGAGCAGATCAGCCGAAAAAGTGAACTAAAAAGACACGGTTACTATGGTTAATAATTGGATGGGAAATACCCTATCTTGACAGTGAGTGGGTAGAAACAAGACTGAAGGCAGTGCTGATTAGGATGTTGAGCTGCAATTCTACTGACGCTATACATGTGGCCAGCATCATGGGTAATGTTAGTAAAGACAACATGCGGAAAATGAAATTGACGAGACATTTGAAAAAGGAACTTCTACAAATGTGTCAGTCGTCTGATTGACAAGTTCCACAGCCTGATAAGCAATATACCAGCTCCATCTCTAATGAAATAAGCTCAAAAACATTCAGCGTTGGACAGGGTAATTTTCATACCTCTTTTTTTGAATTTGATATAATAATAAAAAAATCGCTAACTCCGTAAAACTAAGGAGTCAGCTAGATCTTGATAACAATTACAAAGACGTTTGGTAGAAAGTGATGATGTGCCTTAAAGACCTTATTGACAGTGTTTATCACATCCATTCACGAAGCTGGCTGCAGTGCCATTTTGGAAAGGCTGTTGTTCAGCTCATGAGAACAGTGTTTTCAAGCCGTGTAAGGTGTGTTTGCTTAGTAATGCCTTTTGGGGAGGTATATTTGTGCTGACAGAGAGTAAGCGTCATGCGAGGGCAGTACAGGGTGCAGCAATTGTCCTGCATGAAATAGAGTTGGCTGAGCAGTTGTCGAATGCTGTGCAAAGTTCTGCTGCAGCGGCGATGGGAGAGCGTATTGCTGTTGCTGATTCTGAGGCAAGGGTTCCTGTGCCCGTTCCTGTTGTGATGTCGACTCCTGCTGTGCCTGATGGTTGTGCTTCTTATACACAGGTGATGACTGGTTCTGCGGTGTGTGAGCCACCAGCGATAGCTGTTGCTGCTGTGTGTGTGTGGGCGTCGGTAGCTGATGGCGGTGAGTTGGATAGATTTGCGACTGCTGACATTGGTCGTGTGATTCCAGTTGCTGCTGCTGATGCTTCTGCTGATGATGATCGTGCTTCTGGAGCTGCTGTTCTGGTTGATAATGATGAGGTTGTTGCTGCAACTGCTGACGTGCTGCCGGGTATTGGAAGTGAGTATGTTGCTGCTGAACAAGCTGTTTGTTTTGAGTCAGTTCTGGCACAGCTGCTGGCACAGTTGTTGCTTCTGTTGCTGCTGCTGCTTCTGGCTGTGGTGGCGGCGGCGGCTGTGGGAATATCTGTATGGAACATGTAGACAAGGGATCATTTCTTGTTGCTCTACTGCCTAGGCTTGCCACTACTAGGTCACCCTTTCCGGCATTGTCATATCATACTTCACTGAACACCGCATAGCTACCAGACGGCTGTCCAGGTGGTGTTGGCAGTGCACTGTTGACCAAATCACTACCAGCAGTAGCCTGGGCAGAGTGCAAATGATAAGGTAACTGAGGCAAAGATGAGGTGGATGTTGAATTCACAGTCAGCATGCTTGAGGACGTTCCCAGTGGTAAGTGTTGCGGCTGTGCAGGCTGACACTGGCCCGTGCAAGTCACAAGTGCAAAACCTTGTTGTTGATGTTGGTATTGCTGCTGCTGCTTCTGTTCTTCCTGTTGTTGTTGATGGTGGTTGTGCTGGTCTTCAAGTACCCCATCAGATGAAATCGAACTGCCATGATCACTTTCTCCGTCCGCAGCAATAGAACCATCCGCAGACGGCAAGCCACTGTTCTCTGCGCTGGTGTCCGTGGTACTGTTGGAAATAGCACTACCGCCATTGGCTGCATTTCGAGCATCATGCTGTTTGGAGTGCTTTTTAAGCGAGCTCGGGTGTGTATAGCTCTTCGTACATCCTGCTGCCCTGCATCGGTAGGGTTTATCTTTCGTGTGCACGACCATGTGCTTCTTTTGATTCGAGGAATCTGCGAATCTTTTCTTACAGTCCGGGAAGGTGCAGGGAACCGGCTTTTCCTTTGTGTGGACTCTGTAGTGTTTCTTCAGGTTTGCGAAACTTGCGAATGCTTTGCGTGTGCAGTCGTGATGATCGCAGACAAAGGGTTTTTCACCTGTGTGAACTCGTATATGGTTGACAAGCCTATATTTGGCTTTGAATCCTTTGGTGCGTGTACACTGGTCCCAGTGGCAGATGTAGACATTGCCGTCCTCCTGTGTGGGATGTTCGGTAGTGTCCTGTTGCTGGAGATGAACGTTTGTTATGTGCTGCGCTAGTTCGGTGACACTATAGAAAGCCAACCCACACAATTGTAGACCGCTGTTTACACGCCATTCGCACAGATTTCTGGGATGTCCGCCAAACAGTGGAGGGGCAGAGGGGTTGTCCAGTTGATACTCGACGCCTTGTGCTAGATGGTTCAGTGGGGTCTGTGGAAAGCCGGCGTGCATTTCCGCAGGATGGTTAGAGCTGGCCATACTGCCGTGCATTGCTGGGACACAACTCGGCAGATAGCTGCTAGCAGTGGCATGGAAGTGGTGACTCATTTGCTGGCTGTAGGGAGTCGCAAATTGTGCTGGTGATGACATAAGACCAATGGTTGGTTGAGGCTGTGGTGGGAGACCCAGTGTTGACTCCACTAATGATGGTCTAAGCCCCACAATACTACTGCTAGCTCCTCTGAAGCCACCAGTGTTGATAGGTTGTCCAATAAGGCTGTGCTGCTGACCAACAGGCTGCGATTGGCTCGCAATAGGCTGTGTCAAGCTATTGTTGGCATCAGGCTGTACTGGACCGACATTTGTCCCTGCAGCTTGCAGCCCTGCCTGTACCTGTTGATGTGTCCCATCGAATGCTGTGTTTCAGAACAAAGCAGAAATTGACAATGTGCAAATGATAATGATAGCAATTGTTTGATACTTGAAAACACTGACTGAAGTGGTCCTGCCCCGTAGATGTGTGTTTAGTTTACAATAGTGAGTTGTCCCTCAGCACAGACTTATCAAATTGATGGTCCCTGCGCTCACACACACGTCCCGTCCTGTCCTGTAGAGTCACTGCCGCAAAAGGGTCACGTGATCCCATCACTGGGAAACTTGAGAAGAGAGAGAGAGGACACGACGCTCGATGACGCTCCAGGTGCACGGGTAGTCGCATCCGCTTTCCGCATATGCACACGTGCTGGAAGGCTGAGCGCTCCTCTGCTGTTGGTCTATGCGCCACCCTTGAACAGCGATGCCTTCCCCGTCCCCGGACACCGCGAAAGCAGCGACCACACCTGTCACAATGCGCGGCACAACATCCCTCCACCGGTGCCGACGTTCCGGTAGTTCCAGGTGGCACTGCGGCATCCACCGTTGAGGCACACACATGCCGGACCAAGCCACCGCGGCTTCTCAGCCACCGCCCACACCGCCCGCACTGACTGGCGCCCCGCTGCTCAGACACAGGCCGCGCACGCTCCTCCAGACACTTATGCCGAGCCATGTCTCCTTTCCGTGCAAAATCCCGTCCGCATACCGTACATACCACTCGGGGCGGAGGCTCAGGCACATTGTCAGGCTCTTGGCAGGTGCTGCGCCACTCCGCGCGAGACTCACATGCAACATCATACCACAATGCCTCCACGCCACGGGCACGTAGATCCCGGACAGCACAGTCCTTTCATCTGCGGCGTGGGCCATGTGCTGGGCGACGCTGCAAGAAGGAGCCAAACAGTACCTGTTTTGGGATGCGGTTGTCCGGCATCCGCGCCACATGCCCCAACCACTCCAACCGCCGATGTGCAATTTTGTCTTTAATCGTCTCGGAGTCTCCCCAGCGCACCAGCAGCTCTTCGTTGGTGATGTGTTCATCCCACATCCGGCTTCGAGAGACCCCGAGGATGGATAGGATGCACCTCATGCTGAAGGTTGAGAGCTTCTGTAGGTCATGTTGAAGGGGCGTCCAGCACTCAGAGCCATACAACAGCAGGGACAGAACGCAAGCATTGAATACGCACCGCTTGGTGTGCATCAACAGATGAGGATTGTAGAATACAGACCTCCGAAGAGCACCGCAGGCCCTGGAGGCTTGGGCAATCCTTGCGGCGATGTCCCGGGACGAACGGCAACCGCTGTCCACTACAGAACCGAGGTATTTGAAATGCGGTACCCATTCCACCTCCGCTTGACCAAGTTGGAGGGGAGCGCGGTCAGGAGGCGTGATGCCGGGGCCAACAACTACAAACTGAGTCTTCGTTGCGCTGATGGTCAAGCCGAATCCCGACGCCACCTCGTGAAGACAGCACAATGCTGCCCCCGCCCCAGACCGAGTCGTAGCGAAGAGACAAGAGTCGTCAGCAAACTGGGAATCTGTTAGGCAATGGTGTTGGTTGCCACGGCGGGGTTTACGGTATAGATCGCTGCTGTATGCTGAGCGGAGCTCGAAGCCAACCCCGTCAACTCTCCTGACGCGGTGTTGCCACTGGGTCATCACGGCCCACATAAAGATATTAAAAAGGACCGGCGCCATAGAGCACCCCTGGCGAAGACCATTGCCAATGCTGAACGGGTCTGATATGTTGTTGAACTGCACCGATGCTGACATGGGGTCGTGGAACGACCGGATGATGTTGATAAGCTTTTCTGGTACTCCCGCACGGCCGAGGACCTGCCACAGACACCCCCTGGGCACTGAATCATAGGCCTTCTTCAGGTCGATAAACACAAAAAATCCCTTGGCCTGATGTTCGATTGACTTTTCCATGAGCTGTCGGACGGTGAAGATCATGTCAGAGCAGCCACGCCCTCGCCGGAACCTGCACTGGGACTCAGGGAGAAATTCCTCTGCGAATACCTGCAGCCTTCTCTGAAGGACACTCGCCAAGACCTTGCCGACCACATCCAGCAACGCAATGCCCCGCCAATTGTCGCACTGTGACAAATCTCCCTTCTTTGGAATGGGGATGAGGGTAGCATCCGCCCACTCCCGCGGAACGCAGCCATCTCGCCACACATCTCCAAACAGCTCCATGAGCTTGTTGTTGAGCTCCTCGCCACCGAACTTTAGCAACTCTGGCTGTATCCTCGATGAACCAGCAGCGGTGCCATTGCGAAGTCGAGAAATGGCCTTGGAGATCTCATGCATGGTTGGTGGTTCCTCAAGGCTCGACACTACAGGTCGCTGCTCAACGCAAGCCATGATATCGGGGTTGTACGAGCTCTCTGGGTTCAGGACTGAAGTAGAATGACCCCCCCCCCTTGATGTGTACAGTGTACTACTTCATGCTGCTCTTCTTACGTCGTACTGACTTGCGTCACTCCCCCCCGTCAGTACTTATGCATTCTTGTACATCATGACGTATTCTCTTCTGCTGTACCTGATTTAGCCTGTCGTGCCTGCGTGCGCAAGGCACGCGATCTCTTTTGTTCCTTAGTTCTTTCTTGCTGTTTTGTGCGGAAAGGAGCGTAGTTTTGATGGCTCCTTTGCATTTGTTCTTATTCATTGTATAAACCTTCGGTATGTAATAATAATAGTCTAATTCTCCCACAAAGTGGTACCGAAACCCGGCTTAGATTAGTGTTAGTGTCGCTTGCTGAGAATGTCGTCTTCTGTCGGTCTGTCGTTGTTGAAAGCTTTTGGCGGCGGCCGGAGCGAGGACTTTGAAACTTTTCTGGCAAAATTTAAAGTTGTTGCCGAAATACAAGGATGGCAGACGAAGGAGAAGCGAGCTGAATACTTACCACTATTCTTGGACAAGGATGCTTTTACAGTATGGTCTCAGTTACAGTCCGTTTCAAAAAGATTTACAACCCTGGCGATCGCCCGCGGAGTTTGGCGTCTTACCGTATGAGCACTCGAGCGCTGCCTGGAAAAACTCACTGTGAACTCGAAGAAATATTCCGCGCGAAAGCAGGAAAAATGACAACTCACTCACGTTGACACAGTCATGTACGTCTGGTTTACAACAAACGAGTTCTTCCTCGTATCGACAATGGAGTCAGAGAGGACATGTCGAAACGAAAGTGTTGTAAATGTTGACGAGCTGCATGGGTCCGTTTTGTGACCAAAATAGTTTCTTTGAGCTGCGATGCAATTTACTCACCGTGTGACGAAAACGACATCGACACGGACTCATTCCCAAGGCCATGACTTGGCAAAGCTATCCGTGTGACTTCGACGACATTTTGAGAAAAGCAGACGCTTGTGAACGCTGATAGAAGACGGCGTTGACTGCTAAATTCAAATAAATTGGCGATCTTGAAATACTAAAATATATCTCAAAAAGCTACAGCGCGATGACTTCCATTATAATTCACTCACACCATTGCAGTGTTGTGGGTGTGTTCACATGGCGTGAGCCAGTCAAGTGTCAGTCAGTTCGGCAGGAAGCGCGAGCTCCAACAACAAGTCGTTTGGTGCAGCCATCTTCTTTGTCTTGTACCAGCTTGATCACCAAAACAATGAAAAAAAAGTTTGACTTGAGGATAGGTTGGGATTTGAACTCACAACTTCATGGTCAGCAGACAGCATTCATAACCACAAGGCCAAAAAGGAAAGGATAAATCGTGGGTTTTGATAAAAAATCGATACTGGCTTCCTGGGCAAATTGTAAACCATGGGAAAAGGCCGGAAACCTGGCCGAAATTCTAACTCCTTAACGGTTGGTCCCATTGTTCCGAAACCTTCACAGAACAATTTGCCGTGTCCTAACAAGCCATTCTATGTACTTTGTTGTCCAAATTTCCCTTATCTTCATACTTTTTAAGACACAAACCTGATTGTAAATCTTTTTGAAACAGACTATAGATGATTCGTCGCGGAAGGACGATACATTGATTTATGAGCAGTTGCGTTCTGCATTTGGCAGCACGAAGGAGGAAGCATATGTCAAATTTGTGCGTCGTCAGCTTAGAACTGATGAGACTGTCGATGTTTATATGGCGGATCTGCGACGACTGTTGCGGTGCAGTGGCCATACAGAGGTCAGTGAGGACCCTGTGCTAAAACAGCAGTTCCTGTCCGGATTACCTGTGGAGTTTGCCGGACAGATTCGTTTGCAGAACGCGGCGAGCTCATTGAAGATTCGCCAGTGTGCGGATCAGGTGAAGGCATTACGGTCTGCGCAACGAGTGACGCGCCAGTTTCCAAGTTCTGTATCAGCAGCTGCCAGCAGTAGTAACAAGGGATCCTCGTCTACTGCTGTTCCATCTAGTGTATTGTGTTTTCATTGCAAGCAGTCTGGGCACAAACATAGTTTATGTCCCCAATTGAAGGGCAAGTGCTTTCACTGTAAAGAGAAGGGACACATGCTGGCCAACTGCCCCAAGCGTAGCAAGCAATCGACCAGCGCGGCCAAGTCAGGAGCTGACACTGGTGTTTGTTTAGCCGTGACTGCCACATCGTCCCCGTGTAGCTTGCCACGTATTTATGTGGACGCACGGCAGAGTGAGGCTGATGATGTGCATCGGTTGTCAGTAGCTGTAGACTCCTGCTCCAGCAACTCTCTGATTGCAGCGTCAGCAGCGTCGGCCATGGACCTGCACATCATGTCTGATGCCACTCAAATTGTGGATGTTAGTGGTAAGGCAGTGCAGATACTGGGACGTGTTTGTGTTGAAGTCGAGCGTAGCGATGAAGCTGTTGAGCTGCCGCTGACGAAGGCCGACTTTCTTGTAGTCGAGCACCTGTCGTCAGTCATGGCAGACATGATAATCGGCTTGAATATCATTTCGGTTCACCAAGGTGTACACTTGGAGTACAGCGACGTGGACAATGTGCTGTGTGGTGTGCGCTTTGGTCCGCAGCAATCTGATCTACCGACACTGTCGACTGCTCCAGTAGCTGCTGCCAACAAGCTGTCCCGTCATGTCG